AAGGCTGCATTCCAGTTACGCGTTTTTCATACGTGCGTACACGCACGTAAAAGTTGAATTCGCTTAAAATTTCATATAAGTGCAAATAACCTTAACAAATACACATTAAATCATACACAAAACTGAATGCTGTCCTTTTATAAATTTAGTTATTTCATAAGTAGGATGTAAAAAGCATAGTTAATGCAAAGTAGGATGCTAAAATTGACTGGGAATACTTAGAGATTTCATCGTAGAATGGCGTAGTTATATTCATTGTATGTATGTAAAACTTTATTTCAATACGCTAACTTCGACAATTATTTACAACTGGTTTCCACGAAGGGCGTATACACACAAAGAGCTAAATGTTAATTATATATAAAACAAAGTATGTAAGAATTCCACCCTAAAATTTTATCATCTTCCTCCCAAACCTCCACCCCCTAAACAAGTACCCACCCACCCTCACGCAAAACTAACCCCCCTCCCGCCCACAATCTATATTGTCCTCCCATCATTTGGTCCTGGAGAAATTAGCTTATCATCTGCTTAAATGCAATTTCGCCATTGTTTTAAATGACGTAATTGACTCAGCCGCCTTGACATCTTGCGGGAGACTATTCCATAGAACTGCTCCACTGTATCCAAATGTTTTCTTTAGAAATTCCGTTTTCGGTTTTTTTAACGAGAGATCAGTTTCGCTATTGCGTAAATCATAAATATTCTGCGATGCATTTCTCCGAGAAAAAGATCTTTAAGGTTTGGCGCAGTGTGGTTCCCCAAGACTTTATACATCAATACTAGCTTGTTTTGTTCTCGTCTCCTAGCCAGGGTTTCCCAGCCTAATTTGTTTAGGACTTCAGACGATCTTACATCGTAGTCAGCTCCGGTAATCACCCTTGCTGCTCGATTTTGGAATTTTTGCAATTTGTCTTGAAGTCCCAAACCCCAGTTATCCCACAGGGGAGAACAGTAATCAAAATGAGGCTGAATTAATGTTTTGTAGACATCATGTAAGGTTTTGTGTGGAACGTAAGGTTTTATTCTTTTAATTGCTCCTATTCCAGCACTAATCTTATGGCATACAGAATCAATATGTTTCTCCCAACTTAATTTTTCATCTAGATTTACACCTAGACATTTAAATGTATTGGTTTGTGGGACTGGGATTTTGTTAATCTCAACCGGTCTATTTCCTATTTTATGATTTAGATTATGCGTAGATCCAATAAACATGACTTTTTTTTTTTTCCTATGATATTTTAGTTTGTTTTTAGCAAGCCATTTATGAATACTGGAAAGGTCCATATTCAAATTGTCAATCAATGTATCGTAATCATGCGAAGAGGTAGATATCTGAGTGTCGTCGGCATAAAGACATGGGGTTGTCCTTTCTAAAATGTCAGGCATATCATTAATATATAGCAAAAACAATAATGGACCAAGTATGGATCCTTGCGTAATTCCGCATATTATTGTTCTTGCAGAAGAAGTTTGATCATTAACAGAACACACTTGCTTTCTATTCCTTAAGTATGATTGGAACCATTTTAATTCAATGTCGTGAATTCCAAACTGGGTTTTAAGCTTCTCCAATAATATCTCGTGATTCACCGAGTCAAATGCTTTACATATATCAAGAAAAAACAACTCCATTTATTTTGCCTTCATCCATGTCTTGTAGCCATTGATCACACATTTGTATAAGAGCACCTAAGGTTCCATGTTTTGGTCTAAACCCGGATTGAAATTTAGACAGAAGCGCATGTTTATTCAAAAAGCTATATATTTGGGTAAAAACTTCCCCTTCAAATATTTTACTTATTATGGGAAGAATTGAAATTGGTCTATAATTTTCGCATTTACGCTTATCCTCAGATTTGTAAATTGGTATAACTCTAGCCAATTTCCACTCATCTATATAAATACCAGTTCTAATCGATAGGTTAAATATAACAGTTATAGATGGAGCAATAAGGGTTGATGTCAGTTTTAAAATATTCGCAGGTATTCCATCCATACCTGTCGCTTTTGAGACATTTAGTTTTTGTAGGCGTTTGGAAACACTATCTATAGTAATATCTGCGAAGTGAAAATTTTCTTTAGGAAGAAGCACAGTACTTTCATAAATTACTTGATCATTTAAAGCATCAGTGCGTTGACATGCTGATTCAGCAGCCATCTTCATTCCAATATTTATAAAATATTCATTTAATGTTTCAGTAATAGATTTATCATCAGAAATAATATCATCATTTACTTTCAGTTCATTAATATTTGCATTCTTATGCTTTCTTCCTAAGAGCGAATTTATCCAAGCCCATCCACTTTTACTGTCTCCCATTTGAGAGCTTGCCTGGATTTTATCACAAAAGTACTTAGATTTTGCTTTCCGCATGTTTATATTTACTTCATTACGTAGTGTTTTATACAATTCCCCCTGTGACTCCGAATCATATTTTATGGCCTTTTTTTTGTGATAGTCCCTTTTTCTCATAAGTTCTTTAATTTGAGGATTAATCCATGGGACAGGGGTATTCCTTATTCGCTTGTGGCGCAGAGGGGCATGTCTATTAAGTGCATCTAATAATAGTGATTTCCAGACTTGCCAACATAAATTGGGATCTCCAAACTGATAGACCATCTCCCAAGGCAATTGAGACACATCCCGAATGAAATCATTTTCGACAAAGTTTTTAAAGGTACGAACCTGACGAATTTTTTGCCTTCCATTCGGTAGTGTAAATTTTCTCACAGCGTAGACAAGGCTGTGATCTGAAATTCCCAGGTGAATGACACCTGATCTGGAAATATTTTCTGGTCTATTTGTTAATATTAAATCAATTAGTGTAGCTGATTTAGGAGTTAGCCTTGTAGATTCTTTAATAAGTTGGTCTATCTGATACAGAGAACATAAAAATTGCAACTTACATGTGTGAGGGTCAGGTATAGTTTTACTGGCATCACAATTTAGATCTCCTATGAGGATTAGCTCCTTATCTTCATTATCACATTTTGCTAAAAAGCTTGCCCAGTAATCAAATTTATTCGTAGGGGGATTTGGTGGTCTATACCATGTGCTTATTAGCAGTGATTTATTGTAGGGTAAACTTAATTCAATGCAGACCATCTCAAGTTCATCAGGGATTAGATCTATTCTATCTGAGAATGATATGTTTTGGCGAACATATAGAACCACACCACCACCAAACCTATTTCGATCTTTACGAATTATATTAAAACCATCAATATGTATCTCATTATTTGAAATCTGATTATCAATTTTAGACTTAACAGGCAATCGCAGTAGTGCATGGTATAAATTCCTTGCCATGTTCGCCGCCATTTGACCACTCACAAGTTCCAACCTCGGTATTGTGGTGTTCTTTTTGGAAATTCGAGATTTGGACGTTAACAGACCTTTCAAAGTTCCTGATTTGTGCTCTACCACTGCGACTGTTGCTGCACAGCAAGCAAGGTTACTAGCATCTGCAAACAAATGGAGTTGAATGCCTTCAATCACGTCCGATTTCTTAGTTATAGCTCTAGGAACTTTAACATTCTTCATTTGATTGTTCCACTTGATCCACTTCCTTTTCAAGGATTCTGACACTTCAGCGTTCCAACCTTTTCTTTCTTCACTGGCATCTCGAAATATGAGCTTACCCTCAGCCATGGTAGGCGATACCATTCCCAAAGGATCGTGGACTCTTCCTAACCGACTCAAAATGCTCCTCTTTGTTATTGGTTGGTTCTCAGGCATGGTTGCTGCTTCGAATTCTAATGTATCTTCTTGTTTATCCCAGACGTGTCCGAGTATTTTACTTGGGTTTGGCATGTTTTCGTCTTCGAGGCACGCGATGTTTGATTCCCACTTGTGGATTGGGAATTTGGCATCCTCAAGAATGATGGAGCTTTCTTCTTTAAATTTCCTCAAGTCGTCCGTATCACGTCCAGTTTTCATGATGTTATCAACGTATGTATTCTCTTTAAGAGCTGTCACAGTTTCCTCAAATCCTGTCGGCTGTTGCTCAAGGTGGTATCCCAACGTTGCTCCAAGTAGAAAGGGACTGGCTTCGACGCCGAATGGTAATCTAGCAAACCGGAAATGTTCCTCCTTTTCATCGATTTCGAACAGGAATCGAAAAGCATCTCTGTCCGTTTTCTTAACTCCAATTTGCAAAAAGGCTTTCTGAATATCTGCCAGAAGTAGATTTGGTGTCATACGCGCTCTGATCAAGATGTCCCAAAGTAGTGGTTGCAAGGACGGTCCAGTGAACATACATTTGTTAGGCAAAACATGCAATGTGGGTTTTGTTTTCCTTCATTCTTGCGAGTGAACCAATTTCTATCCCTACGTCTATCACTTGGGGGTTTTGAACTCACATCTGCCTTATTTCTCCTCAACCAAGCTTGTAGATTTTTAATAAGATCTTCCATATTCCAATCTTCCCACTTTTCATCCACTCTCACGATGTCAGGTTTGACATGGGGCAACTTATTTAGGGTGGTCATAACAAAACCTTGCAACATATCTCCCTGTCCCAAAGTCTGCAAGGCGTCATAGTTATTGCTAAGTTTTTCATAAAACTCCTGAACCTTTTCATAGCTTGACCCTTTCACCGCAGCTAGATTGATTATTTCGTCCAAATGGGCATTAATTACCGATTTGATTTGGCCATATTCTTGCTTAATTCGATCCCATGCCATTTTATATCCCAAAGTACTTGGTTTTAGATTTGATATGCGATCTCTTACCTTTGGCACAACTGATTCAAGGAGATATCCAAACTTTTCTTCATCTGAGATGGGTCTTTTATCGACTTGTGTGAGAAACATATTCTCAAAACGAACCCAGTCTGCGGCAGTTCCTTTAAATGCAGTGATTTTCAGTTGAGGAAGTTTCGCTAGACTGCTTTTCGCAGATTTCTCCATTTCGATTTTTCTTTCCGTCATTTGCAGCTCAGCGGCGAACTTTTCCTCCCACATCAACTTTTCTCGCACTCGTAATTCGATCAAACGTTGTTCATCCTTCTCGCGTTGCACATTTTGTTTACGTCGCTCTGCTTCGTCGTCAATTTCCCTCTGCCTTTTTTCAAGAATTTGCGAAAGCTTGTTCATTCTAGGCACCCATTGCGCGTACTTATCCTTCGTGTCCTTTTTCCACTGTCGTATTGCTCTCTGAGTTTCAGCTCCTCGATCAATTTTTAGCTCTTGTACACTTGCAACAAGATTATTTACCTTGTCAAATATGGTGTCTGTTCGTTTCTTTACAACTTCGATCTCTGCGTAATCGCCTTCTTCAATAATATCGTCAATTGGCTCGAGATAGTACTTTAGTTTTTCGATTTCCTTGTCTATTTCAACTTCCTTCTGTTTTTCTGCTGTCTCCTCGCTCATTGCTATATCTTCCACGTCGTACAAATCGATAAATTCTCGTATTTACATGACCAAATAATGTGTTGTTGTCGTTTAAATCACTCGTTAAATATTTAAATTACCGTTCGATTTTTTGTTCAATCCTGGTCACGGCACCACTTATATACCGAACTTCTCTTGTTAAATTGTTAACAGGTATATAACCACAGAAATCGCAAAGACAAATTACATTTATTTGTATAAAAATATAGAATTCTCACGCTCACAAATCACTTGTTTTGTTTTGTCTCGTCTCACATAATCTAATAATAAACGACCCGTCATCAACATGCTCTTAATGTTTCTTTTATGCAAACGTCAATCATGCTTACGTCACTTATATGGGGGGTCCACTATTCCGTACAAATATACTGTATACTGTCTATAAACCAAAAATTGTTAATATGTAACGAGTCAGTCTTCCCCAGCTAGCTTCGTATGCACAAATGAAAAATATGCATAAAGAATACCGTGCATAAAATGATAAAAAAAATGTGTGAGTGGGGACTGTTGGGGTAAAATTCTCACTAATCTACACAATTATATGTACATGCACTGATGATATTTTTTTCTGGTGCGAGATTAATTCTTCCCTAGCGACTCTTGAATACTGTACCTGTTTATTCTCATTCTTTCTTAGGATTTGCAAGACGATATGTCAGACCTCCTTGACCAAGCAAATGAAGTACAAGAAGCTCTTGGGAGGCAATACGGCACACCGGAACTGGACGAAGATGATCTAGAAGCAGGTACATTATGTATGCGTGAATTACGAGCCGTATAGGCCATGTGTTTTTGAAATTGTTTTGGTGTGATAAGGTTACCTATTCAGGCCAAGAAAAAAAAAGGTACTTGAAAAAGTTAGTTGAAAAGGATATTTAGGTTGAAAAAGCGAGTCAAAACTGATGGAAAAGTTGCCTTGTAGTTGTAGACCACTTAATATTTGGATTTGCTATTCAGTACGATTCATGTGTGCCCGAATCTTGATAATATACTCGATCATTGATGATCAGTATATTTCATGTTATACATGCACATGCAGTATTTGCAAAAGAGTACAGAAAGTCGAAAAATTGAGATCACTGGTGTGATCCTGCAAATCTTGCTTTGCCTGCAAGTTGATGGAAGGCATGTGACATGTGTGAGAATGATATTTTCTCCACGGAGCACCAGATAGTAGCAGGTTGATCGGTTTGGAACAACTATTTTTACGTCACAAAATTTGGTTGCATGATTTTTTTAAATCATGTTATATCCTTCCCTTTAAAATAAACAACACACTGGCCACTGTAAATACATGCAAATAAATTACCTATATTCACTACCAATGTCTTTCCACAGAACTAGATGCTTTGGGTGATGACCTTGCTTTTGATGAGGACACGTCATATCTTGACGAAGCAGAGAAAGCGCCAACTGTTCCGGATACAGATCTTCCTGAACCCAGTGCAAACAGGGTAGAGTGTTTTTTTGACATTTCTGTATGAATACACAGCTATTTCAATGGACCTTTAACCTTATAACTAAAATTTTGATCTAGACAAGTCTAGACAAAAATTTCATCACAGCTTGAAAGAGCATCACAAAATTAGTAATATTCCAAAGTTTCGTTACGAAATGTTGTAAAATGCGGATAATATAGCCCTGCGAAATTTGCTGTTTTTTAGTAATTTTGCATTACAAACGGGAAAATGATACCCCAATCGAGTGTTTTGGTATAAATTTGCCGTTTGTAATACAAAATTACTAAAAATTGCAAATTTCGCAGGGCTATATTATCCGCATTTTACAACATTTCGCAACGAAACTTTGGAAAATTACTAATTTTGTGATGCTCTTTCAAGCTGTGCATGATGAAATTTTTGTCTAGACTTGTCTAGATCAAAATTTTAGTTATAAGGTTAAAGGTCCATTAATGTTGTCATAGTTAATTGTACATTCCAAGCGCGAACAGCAGGATGGGTATACCAAATTTTAATATTTTTATCTGTTTAGGGTAGTTCCTATAGTTCCTTTTACCTGTAGGTAGTGACCATAGTTCCTTTTTGTTTTGGCAGTTCCCAGGGATATATACATGATTTATAATAATACATTTCACCCTATAAAATATCTTATTCGCATATACTTTTGGCGCTTGGATTGTACATTTGACTATTGCTTGTGACAACCTTAATTGAAATAGCTGTATAGGAAAAGTGATATTATATATACTGTAGGCGATAACATGGATGTATGCCAGGTATTGGATCGTATATATTGTTTATATCTATTTATTATTTTTTATACGTCCAGCCTTATTTGTATGATCTAGTAGCTATTCTTTAGTTTTAAAGTTCTTTGCATGTTTGTGTCGAGTTTTCTGTAGAGGCTGGGTAACTCGCATCCTTTCCTGAACAAAAATCTACATCAATCTGAAATATGAAACAAAAGAACTAAAACATCTCGATCCTATTTCAGAATCATCGTCAATACTCTATTAAAAATATATCATTTTAATATCTGGTTGGCTGAATCTATATTTTTCATACTTTAACATACAGTAGGCTATTCTGATTTAAGAACACTTTATGTATTAAGTAAACGTTTTTCTTCCTTATCTTTAATAGGATGGAATCAAAGTCGATGAATTTGGGCTACCTGAACTTCCTCAACAAACCAACTGAATCATAAAGTTAACAAGACAAATTGTATATATACTTATTCCTAATAATCTCTCGTATGGTATATCAAGACTGTAATTTTTGTACAATTATTTAGTGATGGAAACAAGTACATGATAATGTACAAATGAAATGAAACCCATCGGTTAACAGAAGGTGCTTATAAGTATACTTAAGAACATATAGTGTTTTCTTTTTTATTGCTTCAACTGCAAAACGTTTGTCATCTGATCTTTTAAAAAAAGGAAAAGACGCCTCGTAAGTTTGCATGATAAATATTTTTTGTGGAAGACCGAAGATCCCACGTTCATATTTACAGTATTTGGCAATGTTTTCGATGCATAAACCTGGACCCGAACTCTGCGCTAGCTCGTTGGTCAGATGCAGTATTTGTTTTTACTTCTGTCATCTGCAGGGCCCCTTAATCTTTTTATACAGTACAGTACAGTACAGTACAGTACAGTACAGTACAGTACAGTACAGTACGGTGTCTGCAAAATATTATGATTTTTTGACCTAAATACAGTAGTAGTCAAAATGCACATGTGTGCATGAAGGTGTCTGGTCATCTGTGTCTCTATAACTGGGCAGGTTGTGGCAAAATGTTATCTAGTTAAATTAGTTAATAACAACAATCTTAAGGTTACAGAACACTTTCCATGAAAGCATTAGACTGTTCTACTATCTGACCAAGTTTGGACGAAAAATGTTCAAAACTCGCAGAGTTATTTAATAAAATACATTTCGCTTGCAATAAGAAAAACATTGAAAATGTAATATTCAAATTCAAATAAACGAGTTGTGCTCCTGCGAGTTTTAACGATTTTTTCTCAAATTTTCACAGGACATAGCCAAAGACGTCAGTTTCAAAATTGTGTTCGGCTTTGTTCTAATTTTGGATATTTTAATAATAAGGAGCAATTGACACAATTCACAAACGATTCAGAAATATATTGCAGTCGTCAAAGAAATCGCCATATCAGCGGAATGACGAAATAAACAAAAAATTTCCGAACACAATTTTTTAGAACAACTATTTTACTGTATAAAAATGATATTTTCATAAATATATCTTAAAACCAGCAGGAATTAACATAACTCAAAAGCGTAAAGGTACCGCGACTTAAGATTTTCCTGAATAATTCTTACATTATTTTATTGTTTGTCAATTTTACAACTTTATCATATGGCTCTCATATTTTGCATGCACTGGCTAACATTTGGTGAACATTTGATGAAAATCGGACTGATTTTGAGCGCGGTAGCGATTTTCCACAAAACGCCAAAAAGGGTGTCCTGTAACCTTAAATGCTTGAATAACCTACATATAATTTTTTTCTGTGCTGGTGTTGTGTTGAACATCATGTTGTACTGTTTCTTGCAAACAAAAGCCGGATAAAACGGGACCGGCTAAACGGAGAATTATGAAGTGGGGAGTTATCTCGGAGAGTTATGATTTCGCAGAGTTATGTTCGAACCACGCCCAAACCACGCCCACTTTTCCCAACGACCACACCCAATTTCTTAACTCCCTCGACGGTTCCTTGAACTAACTCTCCCTCGTTAACATTATGAAGATGTTAGAGAGTTATCATTTTTTATAACTCTCCTCGTTCATGATTGTGGCAATGAAGAGAGTTACAGTAAGGCCACATAAAATAAATCCCTTGATTCTCATCACCCGACTGTATTTTAAGAGCCGCGTGAAATTTTTTTATATTTTGTTATACAATATAAATGTACCGCCCGACAAAATATTTCAAGACAGTTAAGTTTTTTATATTTTATGTTGGGTTTTTAGTGCCATTTTAAACTGCCAATTTCAAACAAATAGAACCTTGAAAGAAATTTCAGTGCATTTTAACGGAACTTCGTATTCAGTTCAAGGGCCAGTCATTGTTCGTGGAGAAATACGTTTATTTCAGTTTGTGACACTTTTATTTATTGATATATATTAAATTATATAAATATAAAATATAAAATATAAACCTCCCGCCTCTTCGACATTTTCAAAGTGTAGTGATGAGAATCAAGGAATTTATTTTATGTGGCCTAAGTCAGTTTTTTGAAAAAAACTTCCACATATTAGTAAACTTTTGTAAATTTACTTTTTTCTCAAGTGTCAGCTTTAACATTTCACGCTAGTAGAAACTAATAGTACTTTAAAGTACTTACCATGTTCATCTAATTGTAAATGTTTATATACATGCTCACTTGGATTATCTACCAAGTCCAGCATTCAGATACAACTCTCGAATTAGATAGAACCAGAAAACCTTTCAAATGTAATGCCCTATTGGCTGATCTGGGACCTTCTGATGCAAGCAACGCATTGTTTTGACCGAGTAAAGTTGCATTTCCTGTTTGGACGCACGCTATTGACACGCTACAAACTGAAATACCAAAATATAAGATGAAAATCTGAATTAGAAACAAGCTTTACTAAGGTTTTCTTAAAAAACTGACTTAACTCGACATTGCCATAATCGTGAACGCAGAGAGTTATAAAAAATGATAACTCTCTAACATCTTCATAATGTTAACGAGAGAGAGTTACGTCAAACATAACTCTCTCATGTTAGTTCAAGGAAACGTCGGGAGAGTTAAGAAATTGGGTGTGGTCGTTGGGGAAAGTGGGCGTGGTGTGAACATAACTCTCCGAAATATCTCTCCGGTTGGTAACTCTCCCTTTAGTCATACCCGGATAAAACACAACTTTTACCAGTTTTACATATACAGTACGTACTGCACGTCATTCGGAATTCCATTTTTCTGAAATTCAGTAATCTAACGGTTCAGAAAAAGTCGTTAAAAAACTTTACCAATTACATTTAGTGGCGTTATTCCTCTATAACTGTCCCTGTCCATTTTATTCTTTTTCTCACCTTTTAATGTCACGAAATAACAGGTCCAAACCGTTCAATTGTCCAATTTAATGGCAGTATTTTTACACAAGTGCGTCTGGACAGAATCATCCTCAAGCTGTTGACAAACATGCATACTCTCGAAAACTGTTATCGAAAGCATCATTAATTATTAATTGTCTTCTGGGGCCAGTTGTATAAAAAAGTTATTAAAGTTAACTATAATTAAGTAGAAATGTCATCCAATAACAAGCGCCTATTTGAGAGTTAATCACTATTTAACTACAAAATAGTGATTAAAAAAGTGATTAAGGGTTTTATACAACCTGCCCCTGGTGTGTAACGATCATGATATTAGAGAGTTTAAGTTCGACTTCCGATACCAATTCTGATATCGATGTCTTCACTTCAGTTTTCATCTTGGTACCGGGAATTTTAAAGCGTTAAGTTATCACGACAGGTAAAGTATAGAACCATTAATCGTCAAACCTAAATTAATAAAGTATAGAACCATTAATCGTCTAACCTAAAACTCCGACTAAAACATGACTCAGGCGATGCTAATAAACAAATAGTTTGCGTGTTTAAAGCAGCCTCGTACCCAGGCGCAAATAACTAAAAATAGGCACACTACAGTGTTTTTGTATAGATCAGTGGCTCGAGCGCGCGGGGGTGCTTGGGACCCGCTGCGTCCTCCCCAAGCATCCCCGCGCACTCGCTCAAGTTAGCCACTGATCTATATAAAAGCACTGTAGTGTGCCTATTTTTAGTTATTTGCGCCTGGGTACGAGGCTGTGTTTAATTTAAAGGACGATTTCGGTAGTGGTGACTTCCAAGTTCGTACTTCTTGCGAGCAGAGCGCATGCGCATGACCTGTTGTTAGTATCGGTATTGGATATCGAACTTAAACTTTCTAATGCTTATTTTATTTTCTTGTCTTGGATAGATGCCATGTGTGGCATTTCTCTTGAAACTTATGTTAGTTATTAGAAAAGAACTTGAGTTATAGGCGGATGCTCTAACCACTGTGCTACAACCACTAAATTGGCTACTATCACTGGGCTACTAACGCTAGCTGGGCTACTAACACTGGGCTACTACCGGCTACTACCACTAGGCTACTTTCTGGGCAATTCCTCAACTTTGTTTCTTATATCATCAGATATAGTTGTGTTTTTCTTCTTTATTTTCGTCTCTATCATACAATGGGCAGTTTTCCTTACAGAACTTTTCGATGTCAACAGAATGCGCACTTGTACATGTAAAAACTTATTTCTCTAAATGGCTTTCTTATAATTTAAGCTGTTGTCATGAATTCTTCATACATGGTACATTTAAATAAATAAAAAATAAAATAAATACAAAATTTGAAATAAGTTTGTGAGTTTTTTTAACTGTGTAATAATGAGCTTTTTGAAATGAAGCGTTTTTTAAATATATCATAATATTCAGGTGCCTGATATATCAACTAAAAGAATGAGCTTGAACAAATTAATGAAGAATCTGAAATTCCTCTTGGAAATGTCTCCAAGGTTTATATTTGTACCTTAATTAATATGCTTTTATTAAGAAGCAAGTCAAAAAGAATGCTTTTCCAAAATTGCTAAGTTGTTATGTTATTACCATGCCGTTCCTTTAGTGTCATCACCGCTAAAGTATTGTGTACATGAATGTTCCAATCAACGCTGAAACATTTTGTACTGACAAGTTGTACGGGATGAAAAGTTGTACAAGCAATGCAGTATCCATATATATATATATATATATATATATATATATATATATATATATATATATATATATATATATATATATATATATATATATATATATATATATATATATATATATATATATATATATATAATATTATTGAAGGATGATCAAATTTTACAGTGTATAGAAAGAGTGCTCAATACCATATAATAACGTAGAGCAAATAATTTTATTTGTTAACTTAAAATATAGTCACAACTCTGAGTTTCACGCTCAGTGCGATCTTCAGGCGACAATGTTTAAATCTCAATTGAGATTTAAACATTGTCGCCTGAAGATCGCATTGAGCGTGAAACTCAGAGTTGTGACTATATTTTAAGTCAACAAATTAAATTATATATATATATATATATATATATATAGATTTTGATATTTGAAAGAGTTTGTTTCTCTTTTGTCGCATCTGAGTTTGCTGCGCAATGCTCAGTATATAGCGAAATGACGAGAGTGCTCAAGAATGGATGTACGCCCACCCAGCCCCTTCAGACACCTAAACGAGCATATAATAAAGATTAGGTATTATTACGCGTTTGTTTCGCGAAATGTATATATCGATGATTAACTTACGCGATAGTATTCCTTCCACTCGCGAGCTCACTCTAAAAGAGTGTCCAGGCCTTGTGACCCTGGATGGGCGCTTAAAAGAAAAGAATACACATACACAAAGTCTATATAGCTAAGGATCGAATAACTGCGCATGTCAACGCGTGATGTACAAAGTTCAGGGTCATCGACAGGTGATATACATAATTTAGCATGTTTATTCATGTTGTCATTGTGATGGAGAGTGCTCAAGCGTACAACAGACAATAAAGCTGTTTATACGTACGCGAGCAATATATAGATTTTGATATTTGAAAGAGTTTGTTTCTCTTTTGTCGCATCTGAGTTTGCTGCGCAATGCTCAGTATATAGCGAAATGACGAGAGTGCTCAAGAATGGATGTACGCCCACCCAGCCCCTTCAGACACCTAAACGAGCATATAATAAAGATTAGGTATTATTACGCGTTTGTTTCGCGAAATGTATATATCGATGATTAACTTACGCGATAGTATTCCTTCCACTCGCGAGCTCACTCTAAAAGAGTGTCCATGAAGAAGGGTTTGGGGCTGTCAATTTCCCGTTTGTAATCTAAAATGACTGAAAATTGCAAATTTCGCAAGGCTATATTTTCCGCATTTTACAACATTTTGCAACGAAACTTTGGAATATTACTAATTTTGTGATGCTCCTTCAAGCTGTGATGGAATATTTGTCTAGACTTGTTTAGTTCAAAATTTAGTCTATTACGCAAATGGTCAATTCGGACTGGACTAGATTTCATGTCCTCACATTTTGATCCAGTCCTCGGCTTCGCACCAGACGTGATCAAATTGCGCGGACTTGAAATTTAGTCCAGTCCTCAAAGTCTGATTCGAAATATTACGTCCGAAACAGGCCTGCATGATAACGTACGCAATTCGGCCCTCGCCCGAAGACGGTAGACCCGCCTACATATACCGGAAGCTTTGTGGTTATGGGTGTTAATCTTAAACGAATACTTGTACTTAAAGCTTTATCGTCAAATTTAGTCCTCTCCAATTTAGAATTGCAAACCTTGTCACCACTGTCGCTATAATGAATCGAAAACTTGCTCGGTCGCACAAACGTAGTTGTTAATTCACTCGGTTTGCGCTATACCGGGTATCGTTCGATAGCGTTGTGTTATATTATATTTTTGGAAAGGATTCACAGGAGTATGACATGAATAAGACCACCCAATTCTTTTGAAATGCTAAATAATTCTTACAAATTTTTCTCGTGTAGGAATGATGGCGTGACCGTAAATCGTAATGCATGCAAAATTAGTAAATCAACTAAAAGTAGTGCACGTACGTTAATTTGGGTTTGCGGAAAACGAAACAGTTCGGAAATGTCGATAAATCAATTTATTATTATAGCCTATACAGGGTATATAAAAAAACTGAACTGATTTGAAATTGCTCTCAATTTCGCAAAACGGCTATGAGTTTATATAGCTTCTTTATAGCTTGGTACTTATAATGTAGAATAGTGAAAAAAATTCTCGAACTCAAATTTTGTAAACCAGGGGGTTGTATCTTTCCAAATATATATAATTGAATATCTTATATTTTGAAAAACAGTAGAAACTGTACAAACAACACCATATAAGGATAGACATTCCATATTTAGCAAAACGAACCTAACGGGGCAGATATTCAAAATAGTATATGTCATCAGAGCAGGCCCTCATTTCACCTTGAGAGCCTTTTCGCAGGCTAATTCCTTGCCTTTCTCCAAGTGGTAGAACAATAAATTAGATGAGAATGTATAGCCTAGCTAGCAAGCGACCATACATCGGAGAAGACTTCAAGAGCATGACCAACACATATAGTTTTAATGGATAAAATTAACTAAGAAAGCTGAATGATGGTGTCAAAAATGACAGATATATGAAGATTCCATTTTAACATGATTATCGAAAGCAATTCGTGATAGTGTTTTGTCTTTCATGCAACCTCATTTATTTTGTTATTGTATATGCATGCTAGATATAGAGCATGGTATTGAGTTGCGGTTCAGAGACGTGGTTAGATTAGATCAGCAAAACGTTTTGGTTTTTCATAGTTTGGTTATTTACTACATTTGCTTATTATCTAAATTATAGATAGTTGTAGTACAGACATGAAATTATTATATGACATACACTGTGCATGGATACAAATAAAAAGCGAATTTACAATTATAATTACGGTTTCACTTACATCAGCAGATTAATCATTTATCCAAGAACCAGAAACCAGCTGGAAAAAGTAAGGAAATAAAGTGCGAACAAAAACTGATAAATGCATGACTGTCTTAACTACCTGTATATACGCCATGTGGTCATTCCACATCTATGGATTGCAAAATTATTTTAGCGTTTTTTCCACTTTAAGTATTTTTGTCATGTACAAAATGACCGTTTTCAGGTTTTTGCGCGCATTGTTACCAGAAATCGAAAAAAGTTTAAACCGAAAAATATGTTAGATCATGAAGTATTTTAAAATCGTGTCGCGCAATTTGTTGTATGGTATAATTCTCCTTTGTTTCTACCACTATCAACTCGAATTATTCAA